ATAGACTGGGTTCTAAAAAAAAGCTAACAATAAGAGAAACAATAGCGCTCTTAAACTGGCCGGACTATGTATATTATGAATATGGTTAAAGCTTTGTGTGAAAAACATACTTGAAATAAGAATTTATTTAAATAATTTAGGAAAATGCCTTTCATTGAAAATAAATAGAATATATTTTTATGAGATTTGTTTTAATAAAGACTTAATATAGCAATGACTATGTTACTTCTTTAAAACTACTTATTTATTATTATTGTAATAAAGGCAAACTCGTATTCGTGAAACGATATGTTTGTACCAGTTTTATATTTCTTTGTGCAACTGTATGCACCATAAATAAATCACAAAATAAAAGATAAATGCGAGAGTAAAAGCGACGCAAAAAAGTTTTTTCCAAAAATGACGTCACTGCGCAATTTTTTTTGGCTTCTTTTTTAAATTAGTGTTATATAGCAAAAGCAGTAATACATCATTGCTTTAGCTACATAACGCTAATCTAAGTTTGTACTACATGTCAAAAATCGATCCGAAAGGTGAAGCTGCTTTTGCCTTTTTTAGAAATGGCGGATTAAATTTGTAAGCAAATATCATTTAACTTTTCTTTTTTTAAAAATGAAGAAACTATATTTTAAATATAGATACTATTTATGTAAAAGTGTGAACAGGAAACAAGAATACTTGTAAAATAATAATTTATGTTTCCTAAATTCATTTCCGATTAAAAAGGGATCAAAGTTTTAAATAGAAAAATGAAACGAAAGACGCTTTTGAAACATTTTTTGTATACTTTTTAATAAACCTAGGCTCATAACAAAACTTTTATAAGTATTTTACAATTATTAAAAAAAATTAAAATCTTTAATTTATTAGGAACTTTTGATGCTCTTAACTTGTATTGTCAACTTTTATTCCACACATCGCCTTTAGCTTTTGCCATTTTTACAAATGATGGACTACATTTAAAATACTTATTTCATATCGTCTATCATTGTATATGAGGCGTGGATGCAGCATTTTTTGATGCATTATTTATATCAAATAAGGATGCTTTGCAAAAAATTGCATTGATTGGAGTCTGGGAACAAAAACTCCTAAAATTTTGGCTGCACCTGCCCCAAACGTGAGAGCAACAAGTTGATACAATAATTTTTAAATAATCTTAACTAAATCTATTTTTATCAATAAATTTTAAAATTTACAAAATAATCTTTTGTAAATTTTAAAATTTATTGATTCTGTCAAAAATTTAAGTTTATATTAATAAGTTTAAAATAACAAATTAATTAATGGTGGGTCGTGCTACACCCTTAAGTCCATATGAGAAAAAAGTGCTCTCTAACTTAGCGAAAAAGGGTCATTTCATTAGTTACATGGCTAGTGAAATCGGACACAACTGAACTGTAAATAGAAACTAAGTTAATAGTCTTTATACATATGGAATAAAAAAAAGTTCCGGTTGTCCATCAACATTAAGTTACCGGTGATAGGCAAAAGTTATTAAGACAATCCTAAATTCTTTATTAACTGCACGTCAAAATGCTGCAGAAGCAGTTGTAATAGCTAATTTACGTTAAATTTAGCGAGTTATTTTCACCTTTCGCGCAAAAAATGTCAGCGTATGTGTATTTGTTTTGTATAAAACCTTTACATTGTATTTGTGTCAGATTTACATATTTCCTTTATATATATATATATATACATATATATATATATATATATATATATATATATATATATATATATATATATATATATATATATATATATATATATATATATATATATATATATATATTATAGTTTTTTTTTAGTGAAGTCAATATAGAAAAAGACTTTTCATAAGCGTTAAAACAAATTTAGTCTGCTGTGAAAAAATAAAAGGTTATACAGTTTCAGCAAGTAGTAAAATACAGTTGCCACTGCACAGTAGACGGAGATCAATAATTGACAAAAAATCAAAAATCTTTTATTTTTAAAGATTTCTTATTGAAATTTTTTTCAAGTCTTTGTTAATCTTAATCTTTATTAAGCTCAAACTTTTGACTTCAAACTCATCTCAAACTCATCTGTTTTTATTTTAACTTTTCTGTGCACCCTGAGAAAGAAGACCTACATATACTAATTCATCTCTAACAATTTGAGATCTAGCATTTTATAAACACTTTATTTTATAAAAATTTTATAAACAAGACATTAGGAATCATGGATAGAGAAACATTCTATTCTGCTGGTTTTTGGGTATATTTTTTAAACTCGTCAGGGTTAATTGAATTTTTTTTTAGCTTATTTTTCCTCTATCTTGCCCATAACCTAATTCAATTTTATAACTTACATCAAGGTAGCATTCAAAGCATCTGATCCAGGCATGCAATGTACTCAGTTGAAACTGTGTATGAAAACTTTAAAAAAGCAACTAATTTATATTTAAAGGGCCCAAAAACAATACATACTTGAAAAGACTTACCTACATGGTAAATTACAGTAGGTACTTTTATCAATCATTGCGCATTTTAACTTATATTTAATAAAATAGGAGTTAAAAACCGTTGGTTTAAAACTTTTGTTTTTAAAATAGTTACATTTTTTTGTAACAACATCTGCACTTTCTTTTACATATTGAAACTGCCCTGGACAGCAGCAAAGGCTTAAAGACTGTTTTTCATTTGTTCAGAGTAACTAGCCAGATTCTTTAATATAAATTTTAATTGGAACACTTCATGATAAAATGAACAATTGTTCTTTAACACAACTGATACTTATCTCACCTTTTGTCCTTTGTATAACAGTTAGCAAGTTGACCTATCAAATCCTACTTAGTCTATAAAATCATGTAAAAACTTCTCAGGAGTCTTTACATAGTAATTTAATCAATTTGTATGTTTTATGTCAATAAAAACATTTATCCGCTATACCAAGCCTTTAGTCCAAGATCAAAGCTAATGTTTTATCTTCAGTATACATCATTGTTTAATCTCCAGTAAACATCAATGTTTCAATTCCAGTATACATCAATGTTTTATCTCCAGTATACATCATTGTTTTATCTCCAGTATACATTATTGTTTCATCTCCAGTATACATCAATGTTTCATCTCCAGTATACATCAATGTTTTATCTCCAGTATAAATCATTGTTTTACCTCCAGTATACATTATTGTTGAATTAACTGCATTATCTATTTATGTTTTGTTTCACAATCTTTAGGTTAAAAAATAAAATTGAAGAGTAAAATAAATACAAACATCTGAGAAAGTTTTATAACTTGTAGAAAATAACGAAAAATATATTTTTTTTTAAATAAAGAAAATGAACTTGAAATGTCTATAGTATAGAAACTAATGTATCTTAGCATCACAGAGACTTTTTTCTGTTTAAGTTCCGAAATAATTGAGTAAAACATCCCTTTTGACAGCAATGCTTGTTTCTGCAGCTCTCCTTTTCTTAGTTTTTTTTCAGAAGGGTGAATTGTATGCAATATGCACCTGGTAGTCTTCTATAAACAAGTAAATAAAGTTAAAATATTAGATGTTTAAATTTATAATTAAAATTATTATTAAATTTATATTAAATTATTATATTTTATTATATATATCATATCATATATATTATATAATATTAAATTATTATTAAATTTATAATTAAAATTATAAATATTTGCTATTTTCACAATTAAATAGTAGAGAATTTTTATGAAAAGTTATACCTAAATTATAAGTGGAACTTGGAAAAACCAGAGCAGAGTTTTGTCCAGTTTATCTGTAATGCGTCTTTGAATGAAGGTTGAATAAATGACTAACAAATCGTTATTTTAAAAAATTACTAGACTTACTTGGTGCAACTTTGCGCAAGATGATTTTAATAAGAAACAATCTGCATTATTGACAAACTGCAAAAAAAGTTAATTCCATAATGGGGAGATAGGGATAAAAAAAGATTACAAGCTTTTTATAGTACTTAATTATAATACTTTTTAATATTTTGGCCGCCACTTTTACATTTACAAAAAAAAGTCTTGAATAAAAAGATTATTTTTCAGTTTTCAAAAAAAAAGCAGGAGTGTATCTCATATATGTCTCATCATTGTTCAAAACTCTAAATTGTTTTTTTTTTTTTCAATTTTTATTTTTAAATAATGAGATCAGAAGAAGTTAGCCTGTTCAAAAAGTCAACAGTCCTAATTTGTTCATAAATTGTGTAATTTATGTTCATAAACTGTGTATATTACTTTATGTAACATTATTATGTAAAATTTAGAACTTAAAGCTGGGTTATGCACTGATACTCTAATGAATATTTAATAGCTTGTTTTTTAAAGTCGTAATGCATTTCATAAGATAAATTAGGTAAACAATGTTACACAAACATCATATATAGTGTTATTATTTTATGCCTTCGTCTGATAAATATTAAATTAAATAGTTATTCATGAAAAATTTAAATAAATTCATATAATAATTTATAAAAGAAATTGTATTACAGGTTACATGTTGTTAGCTTGGTATTTTATATAATTTCTGTTTTGTATAGTTTACTACATATTATTACTTCTATTTTATTCAGTTCCTGAGATTTTAGAAAGTTCCTTATGTATATTCCTTATATAGTTCCTGATACAGATTATGATATAGTTTCTTATATTTCATGTAGTTCCTGATATTTATACACTAGTGGGTGATAGTAGAGTGAATGCCTGGTAAACAAGAAGTAAAAATGAGTAAACCCTAGTATTTCACCTTATCTACACCTAGTAGCCAATATTACTTAAGTTTGTCATAAGTAGTTTCTATATATCATAATTTACATACATTACATTATGCTTTATCATTATTTACATATTTTGAATATAAATGACTTTAGTTTGACTGTTAAAAAATTTTATTTTAAAAAGAGAAAAACTGAATAATTTTTTCATTTTGCAATAATTTAATTATTTTAGTGATTTTGTGAAAAACATTTAAAGTTTTATATTATTGAGTGAATTTTAATATCTTATAATAAACAACTTTAATACTTTTATGTTTAATATTCAAGAGATATTTAATTTTTTTTCACTTAAGAACAAACCTGTATATCAAATATAATTATAAAAGTAATAAAATATAAATTTAATCTTAAAATAGTTTCATTTAATAGTTATTTATGACAACATTTATATTCATATTTAAACAAATATAAAATTCAATATAAACTTGATATAAACAGACTTTAGAAAAAGTTTATATATAGGTTTTCTATAGGTTTTATGATAAAATAAATAATGTAACTTTTTTTTTTTCATTACATAATTTTGCTTTATTTCAAATTCATTACTATATTACTAATGTTTAAAAAATTATATACTATTTTTTAGTTGTTTTATTGTTTTATGACTACTTTATCTTCAATATGATTATTTGCATTGATTGATTATTTATTTGCACTCATTGATTATTTATTTGCACTCATTGATTATTTATTTGCACTGATAGATTATTTATTTGCATTCATTGATTATTTATTTGCACTCATTGATTATTTATTTGTATTATTTGCATCAAAGTATAAAATCTTAAAAAGAAGAAAAAAAAAAGGACCTTGCTTGTTATAACATTTTTTGAAATAATCAGAAATCACTTTTCTTTGTACATCAATAGCAGAAGCATAAGATATTCGATGTCTAAGAAATCCTCTGAGAAATGGATGAAAAAATGTTGGAATTATTCCAGGAATATCTGATTGATCGTAATGATCAGCTGCCCTAAAAAAAAGTTGAAACATTTTAGAAAAGAAATTATGAGACTTACTCAAAAACATCAGTATATATATATATATATATATATATATATATATATATATATATATATATATATATATATATATATATATATATATATATATATATATATATATATATATATATATATATATATATATATACATATATATATATATATATATATATATATATATATATATATATATCTATATCTATATATATATATATATATATATATATATATATATATATATATATATATATATATATATATATATATATATATATATATATATATATATATATATCTATATATATATATATATATATATATATATATATATATATATATATATATATATATATATATATATATATATATATATATATATATATATATATATATATATATATATATATATATATATATATATATACAGGGTGTAAACTAGCATATGCAGTATTCCTAAATGCCTAAAAAATTTAAATTCCCAATTTAAAGTTGAAAAAATCCCATTCTTCAAATAAAGTTTTACAAAATAAAGTTTTACAAATAAATTCTAAAAACTATTGAAAGTTAATTATTTTCAAAAACTTATAGAAAATAACATAACATAATAAAGAGATTTCAATTGATTTTAGGGATTTTCTCAGGAACTTGCTTATAAAATTTATTTTTCAAAATTTGCAAATAATTTTTTGCAATGTTTTACTGCAACAGCAAGTATTATATAAAAAAGTTATTAAGAAATGGAGTATAATCTAAAAAAATAATAAATTTATTTGGTTTAACACCCGCAAATGCTGTTTCTTTAAAAGTTTTTCCTTTTTCAGTTGAAAAGATAAATAATTTATTTAGTCTTACTGCAACCTCTACTTCAAGTAGTTCATGTGCTTTGTCAACAAAAATATTGAGAAGCCATCTACGCCAAATATATTCAAATTTTTGATCAATTAAGAATTTAAGATCTTTTATCTTTTTTGTTTGTTGGGTATTTTATATCAACTGAATTACGTAATCGCATAGACTAAAATCATTTTTACTTATCTCGACTAACTTTTTCAAAAGACTAAATCTGAAATATAAGTAGAAAAATATACTTGGTTATAACTGTAAACATAAGGGGATTGAATCGGTGCCTAAAAAGAAGATTTTTAAAAACTTGTTTGGTTCAATTTATATATCAGATAAAAAAAATATTGCATATACCCTCAAAAAAATATACACTGATTATTTCATAATATAAAAGTATATAATTCTTATTATATCTTTGGAAATCAGAGCTTAATTTGCCGTGTTGTTATGAAACTACATCAAATTTGTGTTGATTTCATATTTATCATCAATATATGTTACCGATGGTATTTTATTTTATTTTTGGCACTGTCCAATTAATATATGCAGCACTGCAGTGGAGTAGAAAATGAAATAATATAAGAAAAGAATCCTACGCATTCCCAGAACACATTTTAATATCAGGGAAGGGGGAGGGTAGAATTGGGAAATCTTTTGACAAATTCCAAATTTTGTCAAAATGCAGTGTTAAATTTATTCATATAAATCAGGGTGTTAACTCTATAATTGTTAAAATTATAGAGTAAAAACCCTGATAAACATGTATATATATATATATATATATATATATATATATATATATATATATATATATATATATATATATATATATATATATATATATATATATGTATATATATATATATGTATATATATATATATATATGTATATATATATATATATATATATATATATATATAATATATTATATATATATATATATATATATATATATATATATATTTTAATTTCCCCTCATAGTTAGATATACATTAGTAAACACCATTTATGGTATTTAGACATTCTAGAGGGTTTGACAAAACAGAAAAATTCCCAGAACACATTTTAATATCAGGGAAGGGGGAGGGTAGGATTAGGAAATCTTGTGACAAATTCCCAAGTTTGTCAAAATGCAGTGTTAAATTTATTCATATATATCAGGGTGTTCACTCTATAATTGTTAAAATTATAGGGTAAACACCCTGATAAACACACACACACACAGATATATATATATATATATATATATATATATATATATATATATATATATATATATATATATATATATATATATATATATATATATATATATATATATATATATATATATATTAATTTCCCCTCATAGTTATATATACATTAGTAAACACCATTTATGGTATTTAGAAGTTCTAGAGGGTTTGACAAAATAGAAAAATTGTTGATTAAAAATTAGGTTTTAAATCATAAAATTTTTTATAATTTTGACAAAAAACTTTTCTCCTGTTGAGTCTTATCTCTTGCAAAGTTTGCCAGACCTACATGCTCTTTGTGAGACTAATTTGAGTTCCGCTGTCTCATCTTGTGATCTTAGTGTTTATGGTTATCTTTCTTTAATTTGTAAAAACTCCAATAGTCACATACTCAGCCTGAGTATCTACATTTGTAAGAATTCACCAATTTGTTGGGAAACTAGGTTTGAACCCACATACTCTTCTTTTACGTGCTTTCATTTAGCACCACTTCAATCTATTGCCAATCTCTTTGTTCAATATCAATCTCCTTCATCTCAAAAATTTCATAACTTTTTAATTTTAATTATTTCATTTTCTATTGATTTTAAATCATATATGTAACACTAATTATAAATAATTAAGTTAAAAGGTTTGAAACAAATGCTCAACATTATTTTTGCTTTTTAAACCAAACAATTGAACAAAAATTAAAATGTTTAAAACAAAGTTCACTCAAATTATGAACCAATCAAAGGTCACTCTAAATGCAGACTAAAATTTTTATAATTAATAAACGATAATGTAATCAATAGTTAAGTCTTAATTATGCTAATTTTTTATAGCATAATACAATTACATTCTGTTTGAAACAGCCTTTGTTCTCTGCAGTATTGATATTGCTTAAATTACCATTTGTGTGTTTATTCAAAAATATTTAATAATTAGAAAAAATAAAAAAAAAATTAAACATTTAAAATAACACACTTACTTTAGGGTAATCAACTCAGTTGCACCTAGATATAAAAGTTAAAACTTAAATGAAAGCAAGATCATTTTTACAAGGACAATGGATAGTAAGCGACCAGGGTTGATATTTGATCGTGGCCGGGGCTGGGTTCGATAAAACATAGCCGGGGCTGGGTTTGTGACCGGGGCTGCATTAATACTGATATTCCTTATAAATATATTATTGTTATTTAAAATTCATGATATATTTTATATAAAGGTATATAAATCATCTCATTGTCATTGTCATCGTCATCATCATCATCATCATCATCATCATCATCATCATCATCATCATCATCATCATCATCATCATCATCATCATCATCATCATCAAGCAAAGTTAATGATGATGATTAAGATGATTCTAATGATGATGATGACAATGATCATCATCATCATCATCATCTTAATCATTGGCATCATTATCATCTTCTCTGATACACACTATAAATATAATTACTACTCTCATACTATCTCTAAGATCATTGCTTTTTGTCCGATCTTTTAAAGACACCATATATCCATCTGATCTACTTTGTTCTTTCTATATTCTAGAAAAGTCAGTGGCCATCATGTAATAAATTGATTATTTAAAATTTTTAAACAAAGTTAATAATTTCAAGAAATATTTAAAAATTGCTAACAATCAGGGTGTTGAAAATATCCTAAAATAAATTTCATAAGATAAATTTATTGTAAAATTGCATTTACATTTAAAATGTAAGTAACTTTTTAATTGTAATTTTAATCATTAGAATTACATAGTTGAACTGTTCAAGTATTTAAATGTAAAGAAATTGATAAATACTAGAAAATAGTTGAATTTATTTTTGTTAGCCCCGGCTAGTAACCCCTGCAAATTGCGTTTGTTTAGCTGGGGCCGGGTTTGCAAAAACCTCTGTTTTTAGCCAGGGCCGGGGCCAGGGATCCGGTCACTTACTAACAATGGATAAACATTTTAAGTATAATAACTAGGTCAAACATTTTAAATTTAATGCATAAAAAACCTTTTTCTTTTTGAGCCATGTAATTATATGTCTTTTGAAGATTAGATTTCCAGTTAAAATATTCAGTGAATATTAAAAGAACAGATTGTTTTCCAGGGTTGGAAAAACTTTCATCAGTTAGTGCTGTAAACCAAACATCTAATCCAACACCACACCTGTAAATGACAAACATAAAATAAACAAAGCTGGGATACACAAATCTATTTTATAATTAAAGTCCAAGAAATTAATTTTATCCCCATGCTTGATTTTAGAAAGTTTAAGAAATTAGGAGCTTTATTTATCAATGGCTAATAGTTAAAAAAAAAAAAAACAATTTGAATACAAAAATCAAAGAACAAAAGGTTGACTTGTAACATTACATAACATACAACTAATTATCATATTGATGTTATTTTCATTTTGTTATAAATATTTTGTGCTCAGTTGTATTTTTTTTGTGTAATAATAACAATTTAATTTTTAATAACAAAATAATTTTTTTTTAACTTTTAATGGAAACAATGTTATTATAATAATGTTGTATATCTTTAGTACATTTTCTACATAGTAGAAAATGTACAAAATACCTTTTACTCCAGATCTTCAGGTTTTTACCATTTAGATTTTAACATTTTTTTTAACATCTTCAATTCCAACAAGGCTGCAAGCAACCACTATTAGAGTTGGAAGTTACTGGAAGAGAAAAGACGAAGAATGTGAAGCAAGATAATGATTGATAGACAACTTAAAAGATTGCAAATTATATGAATCAGGAAAGCAAGATGAAGGAAGCGAGTTCTGAAGAACTGATGTTCCAGTTCCAGTCCTAAAAATGTGACTTTTTGCAAATCCACCAATGGCAGAATTATGAGATTTAGCAGGGGTTAATAGCCAAGTCTAGGAAATAAATTTATAATACTTAATATATTATAAAATAAAGGGTAGGTTGATTTTTCACTTTTTTAAAAATTTTGTAATAGTTATGGTACTGAAAGGAGTATTTATATAAACAAAAAAAAAAAAAAAGTTGAAGGTGTTTAGTCAAACAGCGGCTTGTAAATTAGTGATCAAAATTAAAATGTACTCATAAAATTTGCTATAAAAATGCTATTAACTTTGTTCCTTGTGGTTCTATACTTTTCAATACATTCACATAATACTTTACACAAAAAAAAAATTGATTTAAAAATATTTTTAAATTATATTTAAAATTATTAATACGGTTTGTTGTTTCATTTTATTAAGCAAAAAGTCTAACTTATATTTAAATATAAATTTTTTACTTATTGTATTACATCCATTATCAAATTAAAAGCTTAATAAAATCCAATAAATATGCATTATTAATTTAATATGTCATTTGAAAACTGAAAAAAAAAATTATTCTTAGAAATGTAACAAGCAAGTTAGGCAAATAAATCATTGTATGGCTAAGAACAATATCCTATTTACATAACCCATCATCTACATAAAAAAAAAAGACGTCATATGCTGGCATATATCTTTACATATTTATATAAACTTTAGTATTAATATGGTGCAGTATTTGTTGAAAGAGAAGATGATGATCAGATGGATGTTTGGTATCACTCTAACAAGGCAAGGAAAAGAGCCATAGTCTTAGACAGAGAATAGAAAAAACACTGTATTGAAAATTTTTTGCTGAAAATATTAAAGTGGTTTGAGTCTCAGCATGTAGAGCAGCTTCAGGAGAAAATGGTATAGATAAAAGTAAGAAAACACGGAGAACGCATTTATTATATTATATTACAATATTTAGTATGAACAATAATATTAATTAATATTACGATAATAAATATTACAATATTTAGTATGAAAAAGATTTAGTTAAGAAAAAAAATGCTTGAGATGTTTATATTAGAGAAACAGCATTAAAGGGGACAGTTAAAGCTTGATAACAATAATGAATGATAATGATGATGATAATGATGATGATGATAATGATGATGATTATAATGATCATGCTAATGTTTATATATAAATATACATGCATATATATATATATATATATATACATATATATATATATACATATATATATATATATATATATATACATATATATATATACATATATATATATACATATATATATATATATATATATATATATATATATATATATATATATATATATATATATATATAATATATATATATATATATATATATATATATATATATATATATATATATATATATATATACATATACATATATATAAAATATAACATAAATTTAAATTTAAAGAAATATAGTCAGAAACACAGGCCTGGCTATTTTTTATTCAACCCAACCCCTGCTCAAGTCAAATTTTAATGCCAGTCACTTACTACAGCAAAGCTAGCACAAAAAAAAAATCTTGATGCTAACTTGGACAAGCTCTTCAATATTTTTGCATGTTCCTGTTCATTAGTTGTTTATCCTTGTAGTGACAGAAAATTGTCTTGTAGTAAATAAAACTGCATTGAAGAACATACTGTGTGTCTTTTCTTTCAAAATACTAAAGTATCTCTTGAAGACAGAACTTATCTTCATAATCAGAGGAAAGGAATCTGTCCGAAGGATGCATATCAACTTTCATCTGTTGATAGATTAGCTGTAAAGAAAAACAAAAGGATTGATAAATATCCACAACAAATATCTCATGTGATAGCTGAGATATTTGTTGTGGATATTTATCAATTCCTTATACCAAATGTAAGTTCATGTTAAAATAAATATAAATTTTTTATAACTGTAATAAATATTTGTTGTAAATCAAATGGAAAACATTCTCTTTTTTTTATGACTTTTATCAGGATGTAGGTAAATGACAACCAACAAATAGTTCCTCAATAAAGTACAAACTAGTGAAACTCCTAACGCTTGCTATGGAACTGTAAGAAGCAAGTGTTTGTTTAATGTAGATGCAACTCTTGCAAGTGCTTAACTTATGACATTAAACATCTCTTGAAAAATGATGTTCATATCAATCACATCTTAGTTGACAGATGTAGGGTAGAGTGGGGCATATCGGGACAGCGGGGCATAACGGGACAGTTATGCCTGAAACCTTATATCTCAGCCAAAAATAACTTTTTTTCAAAAATTTTTTTTGATAAATCATTTTAAATTATTGTGCTTTATTATTGTAAAAAAAAATTTGATTTTAGAAATACCAAAATGCATTAAAAGTACCAAAATGCATCAGCAAGTTTGCGAAAACCAAAATTTGCGTATTTTCTTAAGCGATACAGCGACAAAAGATTTATCTTGAACTCTTGCGAATTTGCTTTATTTATAAAAAGTTTATATTTTTCAGACAGTATTTTTTATCCTCTTTTAGAATCTGATTTAAAAAAAAAATTTGGAATTGAACTTTTTGAATAGTATTATTTTTAGTAAATTGACTTTTGTGGGGCATATCGGGACAACACTAATTTTCATATAATTGAGTATAATACTACCATTTCGCAATGCTGTTTACAGTTTGATAGTTTTATTTTTAATTTAAGGTATTGTTTTTTTTATTTATTTAGAATCAATTTTAGCAATAAATTTAAAGAATTTCTTATTTTTATAACTTAACTTCAATGATTAATAGTGTTTAATGTAAACAATGAAGGTAAGAAATTATATAAGAAAGATCAATCATCCAAAACGGGATGAAATTCAGTTTTAGTGTGAGTAAACAGAAACTTAGAACTAGAAGAGCTGCTGATACATATGGCGTATTTAAGTTTGTTCTACATTGGCATATTGCTAATAAGCCAGCTCATCAAAAATGTTGCCGAACAGTTTCAGGATGTTCTTTGTGTAATTTATGTGATCCATAAAATTTTTTGTTTAAAAAATTTTATGAATAATAACATTTCAAATTTAGTAGCAGTTACTAATTTAATAATTTAAAGGTTAGAGTAGAACGGAGGTATTTTATCAAAAAAAAACAAAATTTATTTTATTTCTTTTTTGTTGTGTATCGGTTATTTCTTTTTTGTGGTGTATGGGTGTATGGGCGTGTAGTTTCTATGGATATGTTACTTTTTTGAGAGTTTAATGGCTGAACATGTTTACGCAATAGATAGCCTTCATTTTTCATCAGTTTTAAAACTTTACAATTGAAGAATAACTGATGCTTTTTAACTGTCCCGTTTTGCCCCACCTACTTGCAAAATGTATAAGTTTTGCTTACTTTAGTTGTCATAACTTATTTTTACAATTTTTTTATTTTATTTTTTTATTTTCTTATATCAATGAACTTTAGGAAATTTATAAAAAACAGTGTTAATTATGATTAGTTTATCCGCAACTAGCTTTTGTTTCTTAAGTGTCCCTATATGCCCCGCTCTACCCTAATTTAGATAAGTCAAAAATTAAAGTTGTAAGTGAAAAAGATTTAAAACAAAAAAATCAGTTAATTTGTCTTAAAATTAATGAGAAAGTTAATCAGAACAAGTAAAATAATAAACTCATCTCAAAGAGAAAAAAAAACCCATTGAACCTGAACATCAACTAACATTTATTTATAAAGGTTAAAATACTACCAAAAACTCTTAGGCACATACAAAATTTCCTATTGCTGGTGCTAAAGACTTTTTTGCTACTACTTTTTTTTATTTTTTGCTGAGTGTTTCACAAGAATATAACAGTTTTACAAGAATATAAAGATTATAAAAGTATAGGCTCTGGTAATGTTGTAAAAAATGAGCTGCTTATAATATTGTACTAATCAATTATCCCATGGTCAACCATGAAAGGTGGTTAACTTTAACTATCGCCCTTCATTGTTAACTAAAAAAAACCGTGTGTCTTAAAAAAAAACTTGTCTACTTTGTTGTTCAAATTATGCTCCAGCATGTTTTGAAATAAAAAAATCTTTAAAATTTCATAACTCTCTGTTTGATTTAATATTGCTTGAATAATAAGTTTACGTTTCAATAATGTTAAACATATTGTAAACCAAAACAATAAAAACAATACACTATGTTTATGACCTGAAAACATTCTTTATGCCATGGTAAAAGATAATGACATCAAGTTAAGAAATTTTGGTTTTCAAAGAATACTGACTAAAAGGCAAAGGAATGTTTACCTTGTGCTTAATGCTTACTTTGTAAAATATTCACAATTTAAAATGTATTTAAGTATTTAAGCAAAAAAGTTTTGAAAC